AATTTAATTTTTTAAATTTAAAAAATTTTATAAATTTGTAAAAAAATAAAAAAAAAAAAAAAAAAAAAAAAAAAGAATAGTTGATTGTTGAAGAAACTGTAATTTTTTAAAAAAATTTAAAAAAAAAGAAACAAATTTTTTACTTATACTTTAAAATCTATAATCTCATAGAATTATAATAAAATAAAATCAATTAAATTTAAATAGCTGAATATTGAGAAATATTTATTAAAATTTAAAAAAATTTGACCAGTTTTTTTTTATAAATATCTAAACTTTGAACAAAGATTACTTGACACTTACCTGGTTAAATTCAATTAATTTTTTTATTTTAATTTTATATGATTATAGAATTAAAATAAAAAAATTTTGATCGAATTTAACTAGGTAAATGCTGAGTAATCTTCGTTCAAAGTTTAGATATCTTTAAAACAAAGCTGCAAATATTTATTTAACTTTTAATGAATATTTCTCGACAATCAGCTATTCAAATTCGATCTAAATTTTTTTATTTTAATTCTGTGAATCCCCAGAATTAAAATAAAAAATTTTTCATCAAATTCGAATAGTTAGTTGTCAAGAAATGTTTAAAGTTCAAAGAAAGAAAAATTTACTCGATTTTGATTTTTTTCTAAGATTCTGTTTTTTTAACATTTTAGCAATGATTTCTCGACAACTACTAAATCAAATGAAATGAACTTTTTTTCTTTTGATTCTACAGAATTACAGAATTAAAATATAAACATTTTTACTGAATTTGATCAAATAGTTATTGAGAAATTATCGCTAGAAGTTTTAAAAAACCTTCGAATTTATTAATAACCCTAATTGCATAATTTTGCAATGATCGGAGCATAATTCTGGACGACAACCATGATAAGTTATTATAATGGTAGCTTTATATGATTTAACATTATCAGCATTTGATCAAAAAGTTTGCCCTTGCACCTTTACATTAATCATATATAATCCGAATAATTTATCAAATAACTCGGTTATTCATCTATTACTCTATTTTAACCAATTATCTATAGATAAATGGATAAACAGTTTATCCAATTATCTATAGATAAATGGATAAACAGTTTATGGATGGGAACGATAACCCGAACAAATTTTTGAACAATATCGTTCAACTGCTTCGTTCAAATCACTTTTTAACCTTTCTATTGTTTTTTTTCGTTCTGGATTAAAAGTTTTTGCCAAAGTATCTTGAAATAATGCCATCAAACTATCGATAAGATTCCATGGAAGACAGTGAGATGCTACTTTCCCGCTTTGATGGTTTTCCATTTCCTAGATGTAGATGTGAAAAAAATTCAGTTAAATAACAGGATATTTTATACATATTGAACTAGTACACTAACCAATTTAATTAACTCCAATGTGGCTGTTGTTGCTTCCGACAAACGCCCAAAATCAAGTAATATTCTGATATGATCAACTTGATTGTGTGTCTATAAGAAAATAAGTTGTAAATAAATAAAGTCGGAATATAAGTAAAGGAAAACGTGATCATACCTTGTAAAAAGAGGTTAACCACTCAGGAATAGAGACATATGAATCGACAGTAAGCATTGTTTTTAACACAACAGCTCTATATCGTGATAACGTTTCTTCCTTTTTATCATACTTGTCCAAATATTTTCTTAACATAGCCCAAGCTTTATCTTTATCTGTTCCATGTATAAATTGAGTAGATTCGTTTCCTTTTACCCACGAAAATTTATGCGTACTATTCAAGTATTGAAAATGAAGTAATGAACTATAAGACTCCCACTCATTTTGATATTTGAAACTAAGAAGAAACATACTTCGAAACGACCATATTAGAGTTTATCAGCGACAAGCATTTTCGTGTCATTCCATCAAATACATCATCTAAAGGGATTTCAAATAGCTTAGCAATTGAGATAGCTAAGTCGAATTTGCCCGCAAAACTACATAGTTTGACTGCTTCCTGAGATTTCATAGGTGTCACTAAAGGAAATACCAATAAAACACTTTCAGAATATGGCTAAGTAAGAAAGTGTTAATGCCAAGAAAAAAGGATAATTTACCTTGATCAGAAAATTCACGTCCTAGTTCAAGTCTGGCCATTACCATTGTGTAGCGTTTTGTTAGATCTGTTATTGTAACCACTTCAGTTATTGGTTCGCCATCATCTATTTAAAAGGACAGATGTAAATTTTACAATTCGAATCTTATTTAGAACATGAAACACAAAACGTTTACCTTTCATAGATTCGTTATCAACTTTTTGTCTTTTTCGTGCCTGTACAGATTCAATTCTTAACTAAAATCAATTTAAATCATTAATAACCTTAATTAGAGTGTAAAAAACTTACTCTGATATTATCACTTGGGGGTAATGAATTATAGTGAAACCAAGCAAGCGATTTATCTAACACTTCCAACGCGTTAATTGCTGAAAGGTAGCTTGAAGCTAATTCAGTCATGCCTTTTTGGAAATTGTCAAATATCGATCCCATATTTTCAACTTTATTAGCATATTGGTACATAATTCGGGCAGCTATGTTTTATTAATTTTAAAAAGAAATATGAATATGAATATGCTGGAACGATGCCAAGTGAAACTATGGATAGCTACCATCTCTATTCTGTTGCCGAGATAAATAATAAGTATAGCATATTTTTGAATAGTTTGGAGATTCTTTTATATCATGGTTACGTGCATGGAATTCCAATATAGTTTCAAAATCACGCCGAAAATTTATAAATGGAAATTCTAAAAGCTTGCTGACTTGCTTTTTTTCACACATATCACGTACAAAAGGACGAAGATTTGCTTGCTGACTATAATATTGAGAATATGCTGTTATTTAGAGGTTACTGAAACTATGTAATGAAAAGTAATGTTCTTACGATATTGGATTTGGATTAGACACTATTGCTTTGTATGCCAGATCGAACATATCTTTCTTAAGAGCATTAGTGAAAATTTTTGTGCAAAGTTGAGAGACTAGATTGCGTCCTTCAGGGGTTTGACGCTGATGGATGAATAGTAAAATATCTTGTAAATTGACAATCTAAAAAAAAAAACTAGTGTAAATGTAAACCACGATTTACCTGTTCATTACTAAATGCATCTAACGCTAATTTGCAAAAGTTGATAACATGAATTGGTTGTTCACAATTTTCGTATAAAACGGCGACATGACGATAATACGCTGTCAAATTTCCAGGTATATAATCTTGTGACGGAATAATTGGTCCTGCAGTATAAGGAGGAAGTGTCATATCATGGGCTGGAATGCATTGAAAATATTGAAATAAGTTATATTGAAATAGGTTAATTATCATCAATTAATTAACAGGATAAAAAGAAAACAGCCTGATTTACCAAATCCAGCTCCTGCTCTTTTAAATTTATACTCAGCTTCATCATATTTACGCTCTTTTAAAAGTTGCTTTCCATGAAGATACAAATTTGCTGGTGTATCAAGCAATAAACGAACGTATTGATTAAGATGACCTATGTAACCAGATGCTTCCAAAAGATGACCAAATTTAGCATATGTTTCAGGTGCCATAACCATGATATGTGGTGTTTCTGGTAAAAATCCAATTTTATCCAATAATTCTTGAACTCCGCGTGTGATTATTATAGGCATTAATTGCGATCGGAATCTCAGATCAAGAGGATAGCGTTGGACAATAAGACTATAGAGCAAACTATATCGCAAATCTGGAGATTCTACATTCTTCGTGGCATCAATCACATTCAAATATGGAAATTTCGTAAGCTTGCCATCTTCAGATGCAGAATCTGTCGTTGCATCTGAATATGCAGATTGTTCTGATATCCACTTTAGTATCATATACACATATAGAGTAGACATCGCCATGGACGCTCTCTGATCAAAACCAGAATTTGGTTTAGTGCTAAGTATTACTACCAACAAGAGAAAGATATTACGAGCTATAATATAATGAGATTGAATAACATCAGTTGCAGCAGATGCTATTAAAGCGTCCACGAAAATGGTAGTTTTAGCTGTGTCAATTCTATCATCCCTTTCATGAATTATAAATTTGACGTCATTCAAAGCTCCAATAATGGTGTGAAATGCTCTTTCTAATCGTGAACACAAATCCAATCTAGACCATATTTTAGCTTTTAAATCTGGTGACAAACGGTGACGTAAATAATTATCGTATAAGTCCGAAACACTTTGCGCCACCGAAACCATCATCGGTTTAGGTAGTGTTTGAATGATTTTACGGTCAAAAATTAATAAATCAATTTCTGTCATAGGAGATATAACCAAGTTCGCAGCGGCGAACACATTTATGATATCAACCTCTTCGCATTCACTTGTCATAGGATACAATGGAAGTAATTGATTGTATGATATACTTAAATTTAATTCGTGCGCCTCTTCCCCAGTATAATATTGTAGGAACTCTAATATATCGCAAACACGAAGCACAGATATGCTATCTTGATGAGTAATACCTACGAAAGGGCCAGTTTGAACGAGAGAAAGGCTCAACGGAAGATTAGCACGTTCTCGTATTTCAATACATAATAATACAAAACGTAACCATTCATTTATGACACTTGTTCTATGTTCATTTTCGAGTGGAATGTCGTTCTCGCGATCGTTACGTAAACGAATATGTCTTGCTACCACTTGTTTTACTTTTTGTTTAAGATCTCCTTCGACGTTCGAAAGATCAAAATCTTCAGGTTCATCTTTTACAATGCTTTTAATATACTTTTTAAGTGCGTATTTAATAATGGATGATGAAAATCGTCCAGGGCAAAATAAGTAGTTTGTATAAACTTGGACATAATCCAATTGCTCATCACCATCTTTAAGCATATTAGATAAATATCCATGGTCATGTGTTTTAATTGGTGAATTTGTTACAAACTCCCATCGTTTTCCAAAATTAAACATTTCTATAGCAGAGATAGAATCTTCAATGTTGCTATCGTAAGAGCCGTAATAAGTTATATTAAAATTTGTATAAGTCAATGTTGCTTGACGATTTCGTTTCCATAATGCCCATAATCTCCATTCTTGCCTCCAGGTTTGCCCATTTCCATTGTCGGGTTCTTTTTCTTCTACTAAATGACCATGTGTTAATCCCATGTCTACTAAATTTCGAAAAGGAAAATCGCGATTTTGAAGCTGTTCACATGGATTATTAAATGTTTGACCGATCATAAACATTTCTTTTAAACCGCCTGATGAATCGACTCGAACGCGATAAAGCCTGAAGAAACCATCACCAGAAGTAGGAATAAAAACGACAAAATGGAAAGACATTGGACTATGTATATTACTTGATACTAATGCCTGAATATATTTTTGTGGAATTGGGGGTAATGGATTTAATGGTTCATTATAATCTAGTGGCCAATCTTCAGAATCATTCATATCCGTGTCTGTATCATCATCTTGAATAAAAGAAAGTGGATTGGACTCTAAATATCTGCGTGTTTTCAACGACCATATAACAACTCGGCGATTCCGACATAAACAAATAAGGTATTTATTAGAAATTCCATGTACGTATGAAGCAAATGCAATCGGTTGCTCTTGGGAACCATCTTCTTCGGTATCAATTATTGGAATTTCTTGGCGAGGAAATACTAATTTCATCATCTTCCCAAATAGATTTTTCCCAAGAACAACTTGGGTAAAATTATCTTGAAATATATTTAATCATTGTTAGTAATAATACATAAAAATTTCGTGTAAGAAATGGTGGACAAATACATTAACATAAATAATTGATCCGGTTAATGACATTTCTGATATTTATGCAGAAAACCAATCAAGGTTAGGAATAAACCTGCTGATCCACAACTCGTCACCAAATAAGGTTTTGTTAAAAAAACAAAGACCTACCCTCGTTAATCCTTTCTGGAACTCCAAAAGAATGTGGAATCGGTTGGTGCTGCAGGTACAAAATCGTCCCGTCTGTGCAACCGATTACAATGTTTTCGTAGTCAACAGCATGTATCAGAGGAGTCAATTCTTGTAATAATGTTACTTCAAAACGACTATAATAAGTTGCTGGTAAGTCTCTGGCGGAAAAAAGAGTCCTTTGTGGTAAATCAAAGCGATATAAGACCCTGCATGCTAATAAGACTACGCAGCGTAAATTACGCGTTATAGGATCGGTGAAAAATGTGACGTATGGTAAGATGCTGGATGAAAACTTGAAACGAACAGCTCGGGTTGCTTCACCAGGCTGATCGACGGCTTCACCAGTATCCTCTTGAGAATGTATTAAAAATCGCCTTAGCTCTAACACGCGACCAGATTCTGTAACCCGCCACGCTATGTAGACAGTCGGATCAACTTTTGAATGATAAGTAGAACCTTGTGTCGCAATTTCTTCGTCATCTAAATCTTGATCAATGCTTGGTCGATCTTCAGCTTGTAGTTCATGAGTAATAGCTTCCCCCTGTAAGGTAAAGCATTCAAGCGAAACGTTGGTGCTCCTGTATAAGTTTTGAGTGCTCATCTTTCTTAGTATTCTAAAATTTTAAGTGTCTGTTACTTTTAAACAATCTGATTGGGCATTTGAAGATCTGTAATACATGTCGATCTTGTTTTTTAAAAAATAACAGCACAGGACTTTCGTCTGATTGGCTGATGTAAATCAATTACCCGGGTAACTTATTTATACACTTCAGAGTACTTTTAAACAATCGCCATAAAAGTCATTCTTAGTTTTAAACAAACATTAACATTCACTATACAAAAGAATCTAAGAATCCTACTTTACTTACAAGGCAGAATATACAAATGCTTATTGCACGGGTCTTATGTGACAACCCGTGCTTTTTTCATTTACTTATTGGCACGGGATTGTTACGTCAGACA